TGCCATTGCACTCCAGCGTGGGCAACAGGGCAAGAGTCCGTCTCAAAAAAAAAGAATGCTCTCAAAGATCTCTGACTTTTGCAACAATTTTGCATGTTCTTCACCTGTACCCCAAAACCTAAAATGCAATAAAATAAATAAATGGGGGAAAAAAAAATCTCTGACTTTTTTGGTCGGTCTCTCTCTCTCTCCCTCTCTCTCTCTTTCTTTCTTTTTGAGATAGAGTCTCACTCTGTCGCCCAGGCTGGGGTGTGGTGGCATGATCTGCAACCTCTAAGTCCTGGATTCAAGCAATTCTCGTGTTTCAGTCTCCTGAGTAGCTGGGACTACAGGTGCGTGCCATCACACCCAGTGACTATTTTTTTTTTTTTAGTAGAGATAGGGTTTCACCATGTTGGCCAGGCTGGTCTCAAACTCCTGACCTCAAGTGATCCACCTGCCTCAGCCTCCCAAAGTGCTGGGATTACAGACATGAGCCACCACGCCCAGCCGTTTTTGGTTTCTTTTATATCAGCTTTTCTAACTCTATGACTTTAGTCAGTCGTAACAGAAAACCTTGAATGCTTGATCTCTTTCCACAGATATTCCTCAGGTGGCATACTACTCTTTTGTGACTTTTCCTCACATTAAAAAATATATATATATTTTTTTTGGGACAGAGTTTCGCTCTTGTTACCCAGGCTGGAGTGCAATGGCGCGATCTCGGCTCACTGCAACCTTCGCCTCCTGGGTTCAGGCAATTCTCCTGCCTCAGCCTCCTGAGTAGCTGGGATTACAGGCACGTGCCACCATGCCCAGCTAATTTTTTGTATTTTTAGTAGAGACGGGGTTTCACCGTGTTGACCAGGATGGTCTCGATCTCTTGACCTCGTGATCCGCCCGGCCTCGGCCTCCCAAAGTGCTGGGATTACAGGCTTGAGCCACCGCACCCGGCCCATTAAAAAATATTTTAGGTTGGGTGTGGTAGCTCACACCTGTAATCCCAGCACTTTGGGAGGCCAAGACAGACGGATCACTTGAGACCAGCCTTGCAACAAGGTGAAACCCTTTTTCTGCCAAAAATACAAAAAATTAGCGAGGCATGGTGGCATGCGCCTGTGGTCCCAGCTACTTGAGAGGTTGATGTGGGAGGATCACTTGAGCCCAGGAGGTCAAGGTTGCAGACAGTCGAGATTCCACCACTGTACTCCAACCTGGGTGACAGAGCAAGATTACTTTTTCAAAGTAGCTTTTTAAATTATTAAACAACTGTATTATAAAACATTTAGAAAATGAAAGGAGGAAATCACCCATGTTTTTATTCTATTATTTTTCCTGAGATAGATGTAATACAGGCATGAACCACCACACCTGGCCTTTAATACATTCTTGATGCATAACCACTCTGGAAGAATCCTAGCAATCTTTAAAATGGTTCTAAGATCCATATATCCAATCACAGCAACTATCTTTGAGAAACTCACAGAAGTGCAAAAAGACTAATGAATTAGTATGTTACTGCAGCACTATCGGTTACTGTGAAAAACCTGAACCTACCAAATGTTTGTAAACAGAATAATTTCTATATATTCACAAGAGAAGAGAAAAATGCTAGAGCTACATACATCTACATATACAGGAATACCTAAAATTTTACGTAGGAATGTCTCTTTTGCAACATATACTGACATGTATGTGGAAATTCTCTTCAACTTTCAGACACACACTATATAAAGTTTTAAGGGCTGTGAACAGTGGCTCATGCCTGTAATTCCAGCACTTTAGGAGGACAAGGCAAGCAGATCACAAGGTCAAGAATTCAAGACCATCCTGGCCGTCACGGTGAAACTCCATCTCTAATAAAAATACAAAAACTGGCTGGGAGTGGCAGCAGGCACCTGTGGTACCAGCTACTTGGGAAGCTGTGGCAAAGAGATTTGCTTGAACCCAGGAGGCGGAAGTTGCAGTGAGCCAAGACCGTGCCACTGAACTCTAGCCTGATGACAGAGCGAAGCTCCATCTCAGGAAAAAAAAAAAGTTTTAAAACATGCAAAATAGTACTATATAATGTGATATTATTATTATTATTATTATTTTTTTTTGAGACGGAGTTTCACTCTTGTTACCCAGGCTGGAGTGCAATGGCGCAATCTCAGCTCACTGCAACCTCCACCTCCTGGGTTCAGGCAATTCTCCTGCCTCAGCCTCCTGAGTAGCTGGGATTACAGGCACGCACCACCATGCCCAGCTGATTTTTTGTATTTTTAGTAGAGATGGGGTTTCACCATGTTGACCAGGATGGTCTCGATCTCTTGACCTCGTGATCCACCCACCTCGGCCTCCCAAAGAACTGGGATTACAGGCGTGAGCCACCTCGCCCGGCCTTATAATGTGATATTATTTATGTACATAAATATTACAGTAAACCTGATTTTAAAAAAGTTTTAAAACATGCAAAATAGTATTACATGTGATATGATTTATGTAAATAAATGTTATAGTAAGTGTGATAAACACCCAATTTTATTATAGTAAGCATGATAAATACCCAATTTAGCATAGTAACTTCCTGAGAAAAAAGAAAAAGGAATGGGGAAGGGGCATTTATTTGAAATTTTTTGTCATATACATAGTCTCTTTTCAAATTAAATGCAAAGTCTTGTTAAGTTAGGATTTCATTTAGTGTAGGATCAATAAGCAATAGAAGCACACAAAAAAAAAAGCTTATTAAAAATAACAGCAAATAAGATGTTAAAGTATAATAAAGTTGGGAGATAGGTACCTGGGTGCCTATTATATCATGTGCCATACTTTCTGTATGTGCTTGAAACGTTTCACAACAAAAACATGAGAAACAAATATTTGGGCTAAAAAAACAAACACAATTTCAGCTCTCTGATTATTCTGTCATCAAACTTCAAATCCTTTTAATGAATGAGATTATGCACAGCAGCCCACAAAAGGAAAACTATTTTCCAGGCCATAGCAGCTCATCACCATATTTGCTTAGAGTTAAAGAAATGAAGCTAAAGGCAACGTTTGACCTCTGGAATGAGGAAAGCTTTAGCTGTTTTCTTCTATTTGAACACTAACAATATAGAACTGTAATGGTACTCGAAGTTAAACAAGAAAGTCAACTAAGTGACTAAGACTTGGTTAGTCAGATCTAGAATTATTTCAGTTTGATTATACTTCTGGTAGGGTAACTGACTTGATCCTATTGCTCAGGACTGTCCCAATTTTAAAACTGAAAGTCCTGTGTTCTAGAACCTCTAGTGTCAGACAAACTGGGACAACTGGCCATCCTAGCTTCTGGACACATCAAAACTTTCCAGCTAGGAAAAAATTTTGAAATTATCTAGTAAATTATCTAATTTTACTGATGGGAAAAGTGAAGGATCCTAAGTCTTCAGAGTGTAAAAGGAACTTCTAGGCCATTCAGTGCTCTAGTTCAACTGCTGAATTCACAGACTAATCCTCTGCAGAACTTACTAGAGTGGCCTTCCAGCCTTTTGTGACTGTTTGTAGTGAAAAGTACACACAAGCCTACAAGGCAGCCCATTGTCTTTCAGATGTAACGTAACTGTGGGAAAATTAAAACAAAAACAAAAACGAAGTCTCTCTGTGTTGCCCATGCTGGACTCAAACTCCCAGACTCAAGCAATCCTCCTACCTCAGCCTCCTGAGTAGCTGGGACTACAGGCATGCATCACCATGCCAGGCTACGAGAAAGTTATTTTCATTGATCCAGATCTTACTGCCTGGTAACTTCCACCACTATTCCTAGCTCTGCTTTCCGCTTCCACCACTGTTCCTAGCTCTGTTCTCTGGTCCTAACAGAGGAAAATCTGACTCCACACCCAGTATAACTGGATAGATTATGGTTGGCCTTGTGTTTTCCTCTATTCTGGTTACACCTCTAAGAATCCTACAGATACTCCAACCTTCTCATAGGACATCCATGCAGTCTGGTCTGTTTTCCCTTTCTTTCTTTCTTTTCTTTCCCTCCCTTCTTCCTTCCCTTTCCTCCCTCCCTTCCTTACTTTTTCTTTCTTTTTTTTTTTAAAGGTGGGGTTTCACCATGATGGCTAGGCTGGTCTTGAACTCCTGACCTCAGGTGATCCACCCACCTCGGCCTCCCAAAGTGTTAGTATTACAGGCGTGAGCCACATCACCTGGCCACTTTTTCTTTCTTTGAGATGAAGTTTTGCTCGTCACCCAGGCTGGAGTGCAATGGCATGACCTTAGCTCACTGCAACCTCTACCTCCTGGGTTCAAGTGAGTCTCCTGCCTCAGCCTCCTGAGTAGCTGGGATTACAGGCACCCGCCACCAAGCCAGGATAATTTTTGTATTTTTAGTAGAGACAGGGTTTCACCATGTTGGCCGGGGTAGCTTCGAACTCTTGACCTCAGGTAATCCACCCATCTTGGCCCCCTAAAGTGCTGGGATTACAGGCGTGCACCACCACACCTGGCCTCTGCTCTCACTTTATAATGATTAGCTAGTAGAGCTGCAGTCAGATTTAATGTTTGTGTATGTAGCTGGTGAAGAGTCTCTTTGTCCAACAGCACAGATTACACTCCTTTCCCGATTCCCTACTTTGAACTCTTAGAACTTCTACATTTATCCTTGCATTATACAATCATAATGAATATTTACTGAGCACTAACAGAAACTGTTAGGTACTGAACACAGTAAATAAAATGGACTCAGCCCATAGAAGAATAAGAGCAAGATAGGTAAAATAATAAACAACACGAACTATGAGGTGCTACAGACCTTGGAAAGCTGGACAAGGCTTCAAGTGAGGTGGTGATATGTGAGTTAGGTAGGAACTGTATCAACACCTATGTGTTAAACAGCCCTGTGTCCCCCAGCAATCAGCTGAAGTTCAACAAATATATTATAAATTTGGTAAAGTAGAGAAAGCCTACTCAGCCCCCTCAGCATTTCTTGGAGGGAGGGGAGATGATAAGTGAATCCAGTCTGGCAAAGGCAGTTTCAGAGACTGACACTGTACCTGGCTACGTACAGTATTGCTCAGGTGGTTGTCCTCGGACATCTGTGCATTCTGGAAATAGGACAATGGTGCAGGTAACTCTGTCATTGGAGCAACCGTATAGAAATACTTTTTCACAGAAAACAAAGCCTCTTGAGGTTCTGAAATGGGAAAGAAAAACAGAACTGTCTGCACTACAATTATACTGTTTTAAAAAACACTTTCATAGATTACATTAAGCAAAAACAAACCTTTCTTTCATGTGTTCTCCTCCAGGCCAAGCTGTCTAAGGACCTCGAGGGCTGCTGTCACTTGCAGGCTCCCAGATTGGGTCTGAAATAGGATTTTACCATGTCATCCATTGTTAGTTAAATCCTAGTAAATCCATTTAAACCAATCAAATACTTGTAAGACCAATTTGTAAACCAGGAATGTATTAATTTGCCATGACCTTCAACTAACTGACAAATTTACTATAAGCTCAAGGTAGACCTCTTTAGCAGTAAGTAGAACCGCTTGAGACACCAAATATTTTCAACCACAAAGATACTTAATGACTTCATATTTACAGCAAAGGGAGCTGAGTAATCTTAAGGAATGTTCTCCTCAACATTCCTTTTTCTGTGCTGACCAATTCAACCTAATCTTTATATTTTTGTAAAATCATCTGTCTAGCACTTTTAATTTTGCAAAATTCTATTTTTTTTTTTTTTTTTTTTTTTTGAGACGGAGTTTCACTCTTGTTACCCAGGCTGGAGTGCAATGGCGCGATCTCGGCTCACCGCAACCTCCGCCTCCCGGGTTCAGGCAATTCTCCTGCCTCAGCCTCCTGAGTAGCTGGGATTACAGGCACGCGCCACCATGCCCAGCTAATTTTTTGTAGTTTTAGTAGAGACGGGGTTTCACCATGTTGACCAGGATGGTCTCGATCTGTTGACCTCGTGATCCACCCGCCTCGGCCTCCCAAAGTGCTGGGATTACAGGCTTGAGCCACCGCACCCGGCCTAATTTTGCAAAATTCTATAATCTCATCTTATCCTTATCACAATGCCCCAAGGCAGTGTGAATAGGTAACATGCTTATTTTACAAAAGGAGAAGGGGATCCAGAGAAGTTCAGTGACTTGCTTAAGATGACACAACTGGGTAGACCTGGCAAGAACTGCATACTCAGCCAGGGCGCAGTGGCTCTCACCTGTAATCCCAGCACTTTGGGAGGCCGAGGCAGGCAGATCACTTGAGGTCAAGAGTTCTAGACCAGCCTAACATGGTGACGCCCCGTCTCTACTAAAAATATAAAAATTAGCCAGGCGTGGTGGCACACGCCTATAATTCCAGCTACTCAGAGGCTGAGGCAGGAGAATCGCTTGAACCCAGGAGGCGGAGATTGTGGTGAGCCGAGATTGCGCCACTGCACTCCAGCCCAGGAAACAGAGGGAGACTCCATCTCAAATAAAAAAAAAAAGAGAGAGAGAATCGCAAACTCCGGACTCCCAGTCTTAGCCCTCTCCTTTGATCTTGGCACAGCCTTATTTACAGGGATGACTGGGTCTCTCAGAGTTCACCCTCCTGGGGGCCACATTCCCATTTGCCTGCTTATCTTAATTTCCATCAGCCAATTCTTTATGATTTCAATTTTTCCCTTTCAGAGAAAGTCTTCAAATATAGAAGGGAAAAATGTGTGTACATACCTAATGCTGATTTACAGTATCTAAAACATTACCATATACACATTTACATAAAAGCATTTTCTCAATGTCCTATTTCATTTTCACTTTTAACATCAGGATCCTCTTTCCTCTAAATATTCTTATTTCTTTTCTTCTAACGATTTTTCATCAAAAATGCATAAAGTAACTTTTCTTCTAGTAAAGGTATCAAGTTCAAAATAACCCTTAACTACTTAATATTTGTATCATTCAAATCATTACACATTTTTTTGTTTTTTTTTTTTTTGGAAATGGAGTCTTGCACTGTTGCGTGAGCTGGAGTGCAATGGTGCAATCTTAGCTCATTGCAACCTCCACCTCCTGGGTCCAAGTGATTCTCCTGCCTCAGCCTCCCGAGTAGCTGGGACTACAGGCTGGAGCCACCATGCCCAGCTAATTTTTGTATTTTTAGTAGAGATGGGGTTTCACCATATTGGCCAGGATGGTCTGGATCTCCTGACCTCATGATCCGCCCACCTCGGCCTTCCAAAGTGCTGGGATTACAGGCATGAGCCACCGCGCCCAGCCATCATTACACATTTTTAACCAAGATGATGTTCCTCTTTATCCTACATGCTTTTTTATACCATGTCCATCTTTCTCCTCCCCTTACCTTCAGCCTATTGTCAGCTAGCATGAGATAGGCAAAATGCAAATTAATATTAACTGAAGACATAGTGTACATTTCCTTAAAAAATAAAGTGCTTGAAGCCAAGCGTTGCAGATCAGTCTCTAGCCTGGGCAACACAGCAAGACACTATCTCTACAAAAAAATAAATAATTAGCTGGTTGTGGGGGGATGCATCTATAGTCTCAGCTGCTCAGGAGGCTGAGTGGGGAGGATTGCTTGAGTCTGGGAATTAGAGGCTGCAGTAAGCCAAGATCTTGCCACTTTACTCAGCCTGGGCAACAGAGTGAGACTGTTTCATTTAAAAAAAAATTTTTTTTAAACTAGATTTTTGTAGAAATTTATATTTAGAGTTATTGATACCTTTATTCCTTTTTGGTTTTTTTTTTGTTTGTTTGTTTGTTTGTTTTGAGACGGAGTTTCGCTCTCGTTACCCAGGCTGGAGTGCAATGGCGCAGTCTCGGCTCACCGCAACCTCCGCCTCCTGGGTTCAGGCAATTCTCCTGCCTCAGCCTCCCGAGTAGCTGGGATTACAGGCACGTGCCACCAGGCCCAGCTGATTTTTTGTATTTTTAGTAGAGACGGGGTTTCACCATGTTGACCAGGATGGTCTCGATCTCTTGACCTCGTGATCCACCCGCCTCGGCCTCCCAAAGTGTTGGGATTACAGGCGTGAGCCACCGCGCCTAGCCCTTTTTGTTCGTTTTTTGAGACAAGAGTCTTGCCCTGTCACCAAGTCTGGAGTGTAGTGGCACAATCTCGCTCACTGTGACATCTACCTCCTGGGTTCCAGCGATTCTTGTGCCTCAGTCCCCTGAGTAGCTGGGATTACAGGCATGTACCATGATGTCCGGTTAATTTTTGTATTTTTAGTAAAGACGGTTTCATCACGTTGGCCAGGCTGGTCTCAAACTCCTGACCTCAAGTGATCCACCTGCCTCAGCCTCCCAAATGCTAAGATTACAGGTGTGAGCTGCCCATGTCATTTAATATGGACAAAATTAAGATTTCACAATGCAGGTGGTCCCTGATGACAGTTCAGTTTAAAATTTTTCAGCTTTAATATGATGCAAAAAAAGTATGTATTCAGCAGAAACTGCACTTTTTGAGTATCCATACAAGTTCACTTTCAGTGAAGTAGTTAAATTGTATGAGGCCAGGCACAATGGCTCACGCCTGTAATCCCACACCGTGGGAGCTGAGAAGGGCGGATTACTTGAGGCCAGGAGTTCATGACCAGCCTGGCCAACATGGTGAAAACCTGTCTCTACTAAAAATACCAAAAAAAGGCTGGGCACGGTGGCTCAAGCCTGTAATCTCAGCACTTTGGGAGGCCGAGGCGGGTGGATCACGAGGTCAACAGATCGAGACCATCCTGGTCAACATGGTGAAACCCTGTGTCTACTAAAACTACAAAAAATTAGCTGGGCATGGTGGCACGTGCCTGTAATCCCAGCTACTCAGGAGGCTGAGGCAGGAGAATTGCCTGAACCCAGGAGGCGGAGGTTGCGGTGAGCCGAGACCGCGCCATTGCACTCCAGCCTGGGTAACAAGAGCGAAACTCCGTCTCAAAAAAAAAAAAAATGAGCTGGATATAGGTAGTGGGTACCCGTGGTTCCAGCTACTCAGGAGGCTGAGGTGGAAGGATTGCTGGAGTCCGTGAAGTCAAGGCTGCAGTGAGCAGTGACTGCACCACTACACTCCAGCCTGAGTGACAGAGTGACACCCTGTCTAAAAAAATAATAGCAATATAATAAAAGTATACTCCATTATTAAAAAATCCTTAGAAGTCTCATATAATCCCTCAGAAACAAAACAAGTAAACAAGACAGTCTTAGCCAAATGAAATAAGCAAAAGAAAAGGTAACACAAACAAAAAAGTTAAGTAGGCCGGGCATGGTGGCTCATGCCTGTAATCTCAGCCTTATGGGACACCGAGGCAGACAGATCACTTGAGGCCAGGAGTTTGAGACCAGCCTGGCCAACATGGTAAAACGCTATCTCTGCTAAAAAAAATACAAAAAAATTAGCTGGGCGTGGTGGCTCGTGCCTGTAATCCCAGCTACTTGGGAGGCTGACACAGAAGTGCTTGAACCTGGGAGGCAGAGGTTGCAGTGAGCCAAGATCATGCCACCGCACTCCAGCCTGGGCAACAGAGCAAGGCTCCGTCTCAAAAAAATAAAATAAAATGCGTGCAAATAAAATGTATTACACTTACAGGTTAAAAATGAGCAGAAGTCATTACCATGCACTAAACAAGATTAGCATAATCTTATACAAATTTAGAAATATTAAATGATTATTCACTAAACAAGAATGATACTGTCTACTTATGTGTAAAACTTAGAGACAGACACTATTAAACTAAGATTTAATAAACTATTATGTTCATTTTATCCTTTTACATATGAAAACAATGTGGTACACAGAAGTTAACTAGCTTAAGGTCACATCTGGCAAGCAAGGGGTTGGAATTCACAGAGTACATTACATTGCCTCTGTATAAAACTCCATAAGTGGGCTGGGCACAGTGGCTCACGCCTGTAATCACAGCACTTTGGGAGGCTGAGGCAGGCGGATCACGAGGTCAGGAGTTCGAGACCAGCCTGACCAACATGGTGAAACATTGTCTTTACTAAAAACACAAAAATAAGCCACGCTTGGTGGCTTGTGCCCGTAATCCCAGCTACTCAGGAGGCTGAGGCAGGAGAATCGCTTGAACCTGGGAAGCAAAGGTTGCAAGGTTGTAGTGAGCTGAGATCGTGCCACTGCACTCCAGCCTGGGTGACAGAGCGAGACTCTGTCTCAAAAAACAAACAAACAAACAAAAAAAAAAACCTCCATACCTGCCCTGCAGGAGTTTACAGCAATGAGGATTATGACATTTTGAATTGATTTGATTACTAGCACAACTATGACTTAGAAGTAAATGAGATCTTAAACTTCAAAAACTGCTCTAAGTATAAAGTATAATCTCAAAATCCTAGTATTTATGTTT